GAGGAAACAGTTGCTCTCACTATCATAGCTTAAAAGAATAAAAGTTGCAAAGTTTTTCTAAAAAAAACCCCAAAAAACAAAAACTCAAACAAAACAAAACTGGAGAAATGCTGTCTTGTAAAAAGTACTAAGTTCTACAAGTACAGCCAAAGGAAAAGTGGGTCTTTGGAACAAATCATAATATTTTAAGGCATGTTATAAGAAACTTTCAAATACTATAATCGGTAATCCTATCAGGGTACAAATGAAACAGTGACCCAAGAGCAATGACTTCCACAGGGTGGCCACACAGGTGCTACGTGGCTCACTCGCCTCCCTTTTTGCTATTCTTATAATTTGAAAAAAAATCTGTCGAGTGCAACTGTCATTGATTCAAGCTCCACTATCTTCACCTTAGTGGAAATACAAATAGTGCATAACTACTTCCTCAAACTATACAATGAAAAACACCACTTACACTTTCCCCTTTTCCTGCCACGCTATGTGGTAGCTGATGTATGGCCTATGGTTTTGAAAACATCAGAGTGTAATGAAGAAACGAGACTGGGAGATATTTTCATTAATATTTTCTATTAAAAATTTACTGTGCAATTTTTCCTATATCAAAAGCCCATCTGTTTTATATTAAGAACTTCGCGTTAGGCTGTTCATGCCGTTTTCTTGGTTGATGAACAATCTGCAAGGTAACATTTTAACATCTCTGCAAATAACACTGCACAACACGCACTTCCAACTCAAGTTTCAAATTCGGGTTTGGTTTTATTTGAGCACTTTCGTGGTGCATCTTACGCCAACAAGCTGTTTTACTGCTTGATAAACTGTTTCCCAATCCAGATATTTTAAACACTGAAATATCATTAATTCAACATCTCACATCTTGCTTAAGCGTGGCAGGGCTGACACAACGGGCAGGCAGGGGGGCAGGTAAGAGAACATTCATACCATCTAGTTTAGGCATATAAGTTGTGTGACTTGGAGGACCAAAGTTAGAAGCCTAAGTTTGCCATGTAGTCAGTGGAAAGAGGTAGGTGCCTCTAGGAGGGCGATTCAGAGCACCTAAAGAGGGCATTCAGATGCCAGAAAGAAACGGCGTGCCTATCTCCCTAAGAGAACGAAGTACGGTAACGCAAGCTCTGCAAGGTAGGTGGGAAACGGGCTACATTTACGTTCTAGTAAGGCTTCATGTTTTGTGACATCTAATGCCCTTCGATACATCAGTTGCGGGAAGGTCTTAAAGATTAAGGGCAGAGATGGCCAGTTCTCTTCCATTAACGTGATTTCCTTTAGTTATCATCCACTGGACTATAATTCAAAATGTTATGTGTGAAAATCTGCAAAGCATTTTGTACTCAAAAGTTTCCTTTGTAGCAGATGAGAGCGATTTTAGGACGTTCTGCAGATGGAGGCAAAACTCTCGAACCTAACTCCAATTACAGCATTTCTAAGGGCCATATACACACGCACATACACGCTCAACGCACACACACCCCAGCACCCCTGTTTTCACTCATTTAAACACAAGGAACTACACTGTTACTGCACAAGATTGAAAAACTAATAAACGCATGGTGTTATTTAGACCACAGGCTCAGTGACTCTATTTTTATGGCCAATTTTACCTAGAAAAGATCCAGCTCAAGACAATCTCTCCAGCATTTAAAATCTAAACATTGTGATTGAAAACTTCTCTATACTTTGATTGTAAGACTTCGGAATAGGTATTTCTGTGCCATTAGTCATGCAAATGATAAATACTTCACTGCTATGAAACTAGCAAGTCAGAGCTCGAGCATCCTTTCAAAATAAAATATTTGCTCCCACCATTTAACACTCCAATAATTGGGGCAACCTTTGAACAGTGTGTCAGGCAATTAAAGAGCCATTTCCACACTCACCTAAGGAATTACAACCGTAACTATTTCACCTCTGAACCAAATGATTTCACGTGGTTATTCAATTTAAGTTTTCAACATTAAAGCTATCAAATAGCAAACTTGATTTTCAAAGGTTAGTCAGGGATCACACCAGAGAACGTAGCCCTTAAAGGCAAGAAAAACCATTGTCTTAAACTTAAAAATGAAGGATGTTCATACTGTCCCACGAGGTTTCTGCAGAAGGGAACATACGGATGCAACATGGCTTAATTTTCCTTACAAGATGGTACTAGTTAATCTATTAAAGTGTTCCTTGTTAGTAAGGCTCAGCAATTTTTTTTCATCACAGTTGCTTCCTCCTGGTTCAGTAAAGTGATAAATAAAGATGCTTCCTGCTTTGTAAACAGAGGGTTTGTTTGGCTTTTTGCAGACCAAAACCTGAAGCAATCCTCCATTTCTGAGCAGCAAAATGAAAGATTTAAAACATTCCAACGCCAGACTCTTTCTTCACCCGTCGTTTGTTTTCAGATCTTGTCTCTCATTTCACACACTGATTCTATGTTTTCTATTCCAAGATGTGGGATAAAGTGTAGAAATAATAGCATCAATTTTGAAAAAAACCCAAACAATATAGGTCTCTGGTAACCTCTAACAGCGTCAGAAGTTTTGGTGAAATCAACATAGTCAACTGAACAAACTTGGCCACAAGAGATAGTGCATGTCCTGAAGCACGGTAGTTAGATGCTGAAAGACTTGGCTCTCCTTTTGCGCTGATGTTCGTTGTGAATGGTCTTCCGAGGTATCCTCTCCAGTGCTTTTGTTTCCCATTTCCAAAAGTTTTTCAGCTTCTTCGGAAATAGTTGCCGTTGCTGCTGTCCGACATGACAACGCACGTACGCTCGACTGGAATGACCCTGTAGATCAACTGGCTATGCCATAAAATTGCAGGTGCTCAAAGGGAAAAACGGGTGAGATGTGGTCATTTAACCCAATTATATTCAGAGTCAGTGATTGACTTTCAATGCTCAGCTCTGAGTTAATGTTGCTACTTCACTACAGATGTATTTCAAGTGACCCACAAACCAGGAAGTGAAGTAGACAGTTTTACCACCTTACAAAATTTCTGCAAATGAAGTCCAGGTTAGGTCATTTTTAATGCTATTGTATATTACATGCAGAACAGCATGGATCATCTTTGTCTGGCTGTGCTGCATAGTTCATTTGTCTAACGATTTCTGCAAAGAGCTCATCCACCATTGTTTTACTTTTAGCAGAGGTCTCCATAAAGGGGCAGCCCCATTCTTCAGCTAAGGCTCTGCCTTCACTTGATGATACTTCTCTCTCACTTTCCAGGTCCACTTTATTACCAACCAGAATTACTGGCACCTTCTCATACCTACAGTTTAAAAAAAAAACAAACCAAAACAGAACACAAGACAAAAACAAAAGCGATAATTACATTTTAAAGCAGGCAACATTCTAAAAGTAAACATCTATTTGCAAACAATAGAGACTCAACTGAAAGACATTTGGATGACCTTAAGATTTTACATCGAAAAAAATGCATATTTCACATTTTAACAATTTGTTGCACATCTCTTTTCCCCTAAAGCTTTCTTAGAGTTCCAGGGAATGCTTCCTCCTTGGAAATGTGCCACAAACACTTCTGCACTACGGAAAATATTATTATATTCCTAGCGTTTACACCAGCAATCTCATTTAGGGTGTAAAAATAGGATGGATGTCCAACTCTCCCTTCAACATTATGTCCTCCTTCTCCCTGAACAGGTATCATGTTCTATTTCCTGCATCACTCTCCCTTTCAAGGGTGCATTTACCTTTGGTGGATACATACAGAACTCTTATATTGGTAATAAAAGGGAGAAAACCAAAGGGCCAGTAAATTCACTTGAAATTTCAGGAAATGTAGCCCACTTCAAGTGCTGTGTACACATAAAATCATTTTTATATAAAAGCATGTATTAGCTAATACAGCATATATAACTCTCCCTTGTCACATTCACATCATTATGTCAGTTAAATAAGCTTGAAAAGGGCAAAAATAATAATTAAATTCCAGGCAATGCTAACACAGTTCTGCTTCATAATCAACTTAGACAGCACAATAGATCGCATAAGCTACGAAGGAATTTATTACTTTGCACTTCCTTGTGAATGCCTGCCTTAGTTTTTTTTCCCCACTCTCATGTGCACAAACCCTTCTTCAGACATGGAACTAGGTAAGTGATCAGTCAGGTTTTAAATTTACATATTTGCCATAGCAAAGAAGAAAACACTGGGCTTATTTCCAAAATACTCTTTCACAGTCAAAAAAGCAGCAATGACTGAGAGAAAACACAATTATGGCTTTTAGCACTTAAACTACACGAAGACTTCAGAGAAACGTGATGGTTCCCCTTCTTAATTTAAATCTGATTTCCTACTTTGTATTAACTTAACATTACTGCTGTGAGTCAAATCACGTGAGTCAGACTGAGCTGTGGACGAGCAACGGTCATAGCTGGCCTTTGGCACCAGTTGGAGATGCCGCTGCCCTTAAGTCACCTCTTACCCCTCCATCCCTCGCACCTCAGCAGGACAGCAGAGCAGAGCTGGTGCCTGTGCCTCAACTGGTTTAGGGAAACACCCAGCAGCTTGGTGTAACCTACCAGCTGTGGGGAAACTCGGCTCTCACGACTTCGCAGCAGAATAGGGAACCTATGTGCCCCTGTGAGCCCTACTACACAGATGGCAGGCTCCCACGGAGTCAGAGAGAATAAAAGGGGTGGTAACTTCCCAAACTACCTCAGCACCTCCGACACTACCACAGCAGTATGAAAAATTGGTCCGCTTACATCATGACATGCAGCTGAAATTCTAAACTTTGTTATGTCTCTCTGCTAACACTGATAATGACATTTAATCCACAGAATAGGGCTGCGGTCAATAATTGTAGAGAATTCCCCTCACATTTTACCATTCATTCTATCTTTATTTACCATCTGAGAAGACACAATCCATTTCTTACTCTGTGGATATACAGTATTTAGCACAATGATACCTTTGGAACTCTTGCAAGAGCTAAGCTGCCATTAATTAAGCACCAAAATATGCACAAGCATCTCGAAATCTGTCCTCCCGTAATCACACGACAGCATAATCTTTAATTACATAAGATGGATGGCATTCAACAGATAAGGCAGCAATTCAACGTTTCTTTTTATCTTTATTGTTCAGATGCATGTGTCCTATTGTATTTGCTATACAGCATTAAACACCCTTCAATGAAAGTGGAATCAGGTACACCTTCACTGCATTTTCCAACATTGGAGGGCCTCAAACTTCCCCCTGCCCTCCGTTAGCTCCTCCAGCTATTGTGTCTTCTTGATCTTACCGGTGGGAAGAAATGATAAATTCAAAGCAGCCACTTGAGAAGCAGTCAGTGAAGAAGTAGATCAACCAGAATTAAAGCATGAAATCCCCTCTCTTCTCATTCTGCAAGATCACTTCAATTTGTTGAGAAACATATGAGGGGAGAAAAAACAAACCCATACTTGTTGCAGATTTATAGCCAGTTCCACTGAAATATTCAAGTGTTTTAAAAGGTTTAGGAGCCCTAGAAAAGCTAGGCAACTAAGTATCTGAGGATCTGTTTACTATGAGCACTCAGCACCTGGGAAATGGAACAGTGGAAATAGTGGAGTTTTGTACTACAGAACAAAAAGAAGAACTGATGAGCTGACAGGTTAGATGTGAAACATCTAATTTAATTTACTTGCACAGAACCGTCTAGGAGCTATCAGGTGGAACAGATAGAAGCACTATTTTGTATTGCTTTTTCCTGCTTTTGCCTCTTGCATTTGCCTTATTCGCTACCTGCCTTTACAACACTAAATTGTGTAAGAAAATGTTTCTGCAAAACTCTCATTATATCATGTTATCAAATACCTCCTCACAAGGCAAAAATAAAGTTGCTTTTGCAAACACATCCTTGCATTACCTAAATCTTGAGTCATAAACTTCAGAGGGATTTTTTTTAATGTATTCTCTGTGACCTTTGTACATAAATATAAAAATACATACACACTTAGGCATGCCTATAATATATATATAAACTGTCTATAGTATACACATGCAAAACCACGGAGTTTGTCTTTCTACATAGAGAAGTCAGTATCCATCATCCAGAATAACGGAGTTCAGAATATGGCAAATAATGGGAAAACAGTGCATGGAAAACTGAGCCCAAGACTGGCTCCAGTATGGGCTTATGATCTCCAGTTCAGTACCAGTCCTGCCAGACCCAAGCCACTTGTGGGGCAGCCAGACCAGACATCTGTGTATTGTATTCTCCAAATACCAAGATGGCGACGGATTGACTGTGTGTTGGACAGTGCCACGTGTGATCAGACGTACCGTACGTTGACAACTGCACGCCAGAGAAGGGCAATGAAGCTGGTGAAGGGTCAATAGGGCAAGTTTTATGAGGAGCAGCTGTGAGAACTGGGATTTAGCCTGGAGAAAAGGAGGCTGAGGGGAGACCTTATCGCTCTCTACAACTCCCTGAAAGGAGGTCGTAAGCAGGTGGGGGTCAGTTTCTTCTCCCAAGCAACAAGGACAGAACAAGAGGAAATGGCCTCAAGTTGCATCAGGGGAGATTTGGATATGAGGAAAAGTTTCTTCACCAAAAGGGTTGTCAAGCACTGGATGCCCATGTAAATGCTTGCATTGTCACCATCCCTGCAGGTACTGAAATGACGTGTACATGTGGCACTTAGGGACATGGTTTAGTGGTGGACCTGGCACTGCTAGGTTAATGGTTGGACTCCATGATCTTGAAGGTCTTTGATTCTATGACTAAAAGGTCTTTGCACAAACTATGTCGTTCGATGCAGTGGTTCCAGCCTCTGCTTCTCTTCATTCAGAGTCCCTACGGATCTCCCAGCTGTACCTCCCAGCTTTTGAGTTCTGGTTAACATGCCATGGAAACCCTAACTCTTGAATAAACTAAGCTCTACAAGCTCTGAAGTTCAAGGCGGCTCTCTACTCTTTATCTGCCAACATTGAGAGCATTTCCTGCCTCACTTAGTAATCTGTTCAAATCTATTTCTGATGAGTACAGCGAGCCCTGGGCCCATGCTCTCCTTACCACAGCTGTTGATCTTGCTGGAGACAACTTGTGTCTGCTCACAGAGGCTCCACTCGCTATTCACAAAGTTTCAGACTGGCCAGATGTTGGCACACCTACCACAGAGGTGATGCACAGCAGCACAGGCCCACAATGGGAAAGGGCAGTTTCTCAGATGTGAGGGAATTACATGATTCTAATGAAATTTGAAGGGAATAACAACATCTCTTCCTCACGGGCTTTTCATGTTGTTGAATTTCAGTGACTCAAGAGGAAAAAAGCTTATTTACAAAGGAAAAAAAGAGCTGCCTTGCAATGCCGAAGCTGCAATGCAGAATCCTTCCACACAACCACAAAGATCAAACACAGGAATTCAAAAATCCTTCCCAAAGCTTCAAGCAGGATCTAACCTACTCACAAATACTTTTAGCAGAGCAAAAGAGGCTAAAACTCCACTACCTATACCAGAGTCCTGAAAAGCCAGGTTGCTGCTGCCATCGCAGGATGTGCAAGAGAGCAGTTCAGCCCACTGCAGGAGCTGGGCAGAGGTCTTGCCTTTCGGTGCAGCCCATCTCCCCCTGCCTATCCCTCAGCGCTGGAGAAGTGGCACGGTTCTCTCCTCCTTGTTCCCAGAGCAGGGAAGTCCAGTTTTCTCTGCACTGCTGAAAAGCTTGGAGCAGCACTGATCACCTCTAAAGAAAAGCGTGAGGGCCACCTGAAAATAAGAACTGCTGCCAGTTCTCTCTGTATCAGTGCAGCGCGTTACATATTCTAGGGCAAACATCATAGCAGGGCCCGTATGAAATATACTCAAGCGCAGCACCGCAAAGCTTGGCTTTTCAAGACCTCTTCAGGAACAAATTTTCACAAGACCAATTACACATTTGCAGAATGCATTTAAAGAACAAGGTAATTTACCCTCTTTAAATGATCTCACTATCTTAAGTTCCAATATGAAAGATACTGAGCAGTGACAACCGAGGAGATAACACAACTGTAGGCATTTATAGCCCCACGAGAGACACGGGTGCAGTCACACACCAACACACAGAGGAGATCACTACTAGCAAGATACAGCCATTGCTCCATAAAAAGACAACCTGCATGTATGTCCCCAGCTGCAGATAACTATTCAGTGCTAAACCCCACCCTGTTATTCATCTTTAATGAGCTTCTGGAACCAACAGGCCACAGTAAATCCCTCAGTTTTCCTAAGGCTGGACACCACAGCCACATGGAATCAATAAATACCCAGGCTTTAAATGTTTTACGTGGCCCAGCTATGCACCACTGACCACACAGCCATGCACGCCACACAGTGAGAAGTAGTTTCTACATTTTATCTCACCTCGCATGCCACACACATCATCCACATTTCTGTTTAGATTAATATGTATACTTTGAACAACAGCTTAAAACATTTAGGAAAACTTCAAGATGAAAAATATGCAAACGATATTTGGATATTTTTTACCTCCCCGTTTTTTCTACCTCAAATCTTATTCAGAGAGAGAAAACCATGGGTGGTATCTGACATTATATCTGAATCAATTTTACAAGGTACTTTTCAGATTTCTGGTTACAGCTGTCATTGGATAAAGATAAAAACAGATGATGGAAATACAGTAAATATTAAGGAAAAAAAAAGGTAAGTTTTTTTTTTAAAAAAGGACACCATGGATAATAAACTGATATGATTTCCTTAAACTGTGCTAGAGATTGCCCAGTACTCTAAACTGAGGTAAGGGGGTGGTGAAGCAAGCTGGACCAGTACAGAAGACATTAGAAAGTTCAGATGGGTTCCTGCTTTCTAATTTCACGTGTTGCATCTTTTCCAGGATTTTTTTGCCTGAGCATCATATCAGAGCTAAAAATGTTTAACCAAAATGCAGAAAATTTCTGTATAATAAAAACAAACTAAGAGAAAAAAACCCCGTAGATTATTTCTTATAATGAGCTTAAGACCCATTGAAGTTTATGGAAAGATGTATGATTTCCAGCTTTACATGTTAAATATTTAGAATCACTGAAATGTAAAGGTATCTATCCACAATAACTACTCCTAATTCCCCCAAAACCTCACAGTACTAAACCACCTTTAACACCTTCTCCTAGAACCATGGTGTCTTTCCCTCTTTCTTTGTTTGTTTTTGTTTTTTTTTTTATTGCTTATTTAAAATATATTTCTGTCACTTTTGATACTATTTCAAATAGGGACAGCGATAAAGGAAATAGAATCAGAAAGTCAGTAAAAATAATTATTCTTCATTTCAGAGTTACAAAAATTTGTGGTAATATAGAACCATAGTGTCTTTCCCTCTTTCTTTGTTTGTTTTTGGTTTTTTTTTATTGCTTATTTAAAATATATTTCTGTCACTTTTGATACTATTTCAAATAGGGACAGCGATAAAGGAAATAGAATCAGAAAGTCAGTAAAAATAATTATTCTTCA